GGATTCTCTGGAACTTTATGAACATGCGCTACCATGTGTGTGCTGGGAATGACACCCAGGTCTTTTTCAAGAATGAGCGCTCTTAACCACTGAGCCATCACTCCAGCCTTACAGGTAGAGTTATTTCTACTGCTCTTCTTAACCTCTCCCACCCAGGGTCTCACCAATCCCCACAACTGCTGTTTCAGGGTCACCGCTGACACTATCCAACAGGCCGGAAGTCACTGGGCCCCTCTGGGACTTGCAGCCGGTCAGACTCTCTGGCGGGGCTAGCTCAGGGACTCTGCCGTGAGGCTTGTGCCTGGTAGGCAAGTGATGGGCCACTGAGATATAGCTCCTACCCTTATTTGAAACACTGTCTTAAGTTGCCCAGGCAGGACTGGGTCACAGGGATGACAGAGACCCATAGGCAGAACCTGGCTCTCATCCCATCTTGAACACAATGCAGATTTACTCCAGTTTGCAAGTTCCTAAGACCACACTGTCTTCCCTCACAACCCTTTGGCTCTATTGACAGTCTCCTGGGGTGGTGAGAGGGCCTGTAGGCTCATCACTCCTGCTTCCTCTTTGGGTCATTTAAGGCTGACTCAAAGCTCACCCTCTGGGGAGGTCTTTCTAGAAACCTTCCTCTCACCTAGCACTTGCTGGAAGGTCAGAGAAGCCAGCACACTCGGGTTACACCCAGACCATATGCCAAACACTGTATCAGATACTTCACATTTATTACCTCAGTCAGCCCTCACAACAAGCTTTAGAAGAGATGTAGTCCATTGTCTGCGGGTGGGAAGCATGGCTTGGGCAGCCCTCATGCGTGCGTGCTGAGTTCTACTTCCTAATCTTCAAGCAGCAGATCTGGGCCCAGTGACATCCTTCCTCCAACAAGGCTACACTCCCTAATCCCTCTCAAGGGTGCTACTTCCTCCTGAACAAGTATTCAAATCTACAAGCCCTGTGGGACCATTCTTATTCAAACACACTTCTTTCCCAGGCTTTCTGGGCCCCTTTGACTCTTTCTCTTCATCAGGGATAATGGATTTCATTGGAATTTTAAGTAATTGATCTTCTTAAATGCATTTTCCCTAGACAACTGGCAATAGTCTGGTCCAAGGTCAAAGCCCTGCTAACCCTCGCAGTTGGTAGATAGACTTGAAATTTGAAATGCCCTAGCAGACTTCACTTTGGGATTCTCTGTCTAAAGCTGAACAGCTCGGTGCTTTAGGAGGCCTGTAGGGTCCTCCTTTGTGGCTTAGAAACAAACAATACTCTTTAGTAATCTCAGTGTGGCTGGCAGGTTGACAGCCACAACCTAATTTTGTGACCAGGAGGCAGTAGCATTACTTGTATCTGGATGCTGGCATAAATGTGGTCCAGCTCTGTGATCCTTCAACTTGAGGCTGAATTCCTTTTGTCCTGGTAGATAAGGGAGTGTATTGTGCACTATGGAAAACAGACTAGGGTGCTCTGGCAGATGGGGAGGGAGAGTTGCAGCACAGCAAGGGGTCAGCCTGGAACTGGGTACTATAGCAACACTCTGAGAATTAGCCTATGAATTACAGGATGGTTGCATTCATGGCGTCTGCGCAGGCAGGGAGGGAATGGCCAGGTTTTTGTCAGCCAACAAAGAGTGTGTTGCTGTTGTGTGATCTGAGTTCAGTTGCCTGCAGACAGCTGAGTTGTGGAGGTGACCTTACTCCTGAGTCTTATACTTCATAGAAGTATGCAAACCAGTAGTGTTCCAAGCAGGGAGGCAGCAGGATTTATCCACTACTGCCAACACCAGCACCATCCCTCACCTCTGTGTGGGCAGTAGGCAGTGAAGAGTTTGGGGAATTTCTGTTGTTGTTAGTAGTTCCTTTCACTACTATATAGTCACCACACTTTCAGACAACGTCCCTGATAAAATACTCCTTCTTCATAGGGCAGACATAGACACATTCCACAAACAACCATCCAACCTCAGTTTCTCGGTACATCATAGGAATAAACAAGTACCAGGTGGTAAGATAATGAAGTAATAGGAGTAAACAGAAAGCAAGTGATGGATGCCTGAGATAAGATATGGCTTTCCTTTTGTGGTGCTGGGTATTGAACCCAGGGTCTAGAACAGGTACTGGCAGGTACTCTATCACTGAGCTAACTAACATGCTGGGCCTGATGAAAAAAAACAAAACAAGAATTTGTTAAATTAGAGCTGGATGTCTGTGATGGGCCTTTGGGGATTTGTGGCTGTTGGTTGTGCTAGGGTTTCTGTTTTGGTCTGGTTTGCTTGTTGGTTGAGACAAGGTCTCTAGTAGACCAGATCGGCCTTGGAAGATGGCCTTGAGCTCCTTCTCTCCGCCTCTACCAGCCAGCACCCACTTTACAGGTGTGCACTCTGTACTGGCTTTTGGATTTTCCATTCTGTATTTTGATCATCTGAAGTTTTAAAAACTGTACCAAGGGCTGGGCATATAGAGGTCTATCTCTGCCTATCTTAAGATTTCCTGCCCATCTTAAGAAAAAGGCCCTAGCCTCAGTCCTGAAAAACGAAAGTGAAACCACAAACCACCTGCATGTAATGCATTCAAACAATTATTTGCTGGGTACAGAACACAAATCCAGTGACCCCAGCCCTTGGGAGGCAGAGGCAGGGTCAGGACTTTAAAGCCAGCCTGAGCTCCATAGTGAATTGGAGGCCAGCTGGGACTACAAGAGACTCGGGAGAGGGAGAGGGAGAGAGAGAGAGAGAGAGAGAGAGAGGGAGCGGGAGGGAGGGAGGGAGGAATCATTTGTTCAGGATTCTGCCATTTGGGCAGGACTCTATGAAGACAGCTTACTCCACCTTCCACACGGTGGTCTGCTGAGCTGGGGCTGCCTGCAGGGCCTTTTTCTCTCCTGTCTGGAACCTCAGCATGGCAGGACTGTACCCCAGGGCCTGGCCAGGCACCTTTGCCATGTGGCGTCTTTACACAGCCAGGTTGAGCTTCCTCACAGCATGCCTGACAGTCTGTCCTGTCGTGTGGTTGTCTCCTTCCAGACTACAAAGTGGAAATGGCCAGATGTTGTTACTGCTCAGAAGTGTAAGTCCTGGCTATTATTACTAGTTTATGGTGTGGTTCACAGCTGTCACAGAGCCAGCCTGCATCCAAGGTGTATCGTGTGGGTAGAGGCCAGATGGCATTTCATGGTGGAGATGTTATGGCAGCTATCTCTGGGAGTCATTTGACTCAGGTGCTATTGTATGCTTTGACACATCGCCTTAGGGGATCAAACTTATTAAGCTGGACAAAACTAGATGTTTTGTAGTTGTTAATAAATTTTGGTTCTAAATGGAAGATGGATTATTAAAGGGAAGGGAGATGGTGGAGTTCCTAACACACTGATAACATTTGAGAGAAAATAACCTGATTTGCCAAAATCTAAAATGCAGACTGCATGTAAGATCATTCATTACCCGAGTGCCAGACAAAATTCCCTGACTCCCTGCAGATCAGAGAGGATCCATCTCCCCCTGGAAGGCTGGATGTCTTAAGTGTTCTTGCTGACCTGGAATGGATCCCCCTCCTCTAGTTTGGGGTTGGCAAATTAGACAAAGAAAAGCTGATAGGCCCACAGCTTCAGGAAAGCATCGTAAGGACCAGCCTGGGACACACCTGGACAGCCTGGACTAATCACCAAGAAGAGAAACCCTGCTGGCAGGCGCAAAAGCCACAAGGTCTTTGTCTCGGCCCACGAGATGAGGAAGGAGCCAGGCTTTGCCATCTTTGTCTATCTATAACCCGTTTCTCAGATTCCCCCTCGGGGACCTAACTCTGGTTCCCAAGTTTCCTAATGCTGGGATCCTTTAACCGTTCCTCCAGCTGTGGTGACCCCAACCATGAAATTATTTTCATTGCGGCTTCCTAACTGTAGTTTTGCCACTGTCATGAATCATAGTGTGAATATCTGTGTTTCCCATTGGTCTTAGGTGACCCTGTGAAGGGATCTTTCGACTCCCAAAGGGGTTGAGATCCACAGGTTGAGAACTGCTGGTCTAGCTCCCACTATCTTAGAGAGACCACTTGAGCTATACATCTCAGCAAGTACAGAGGTGACACCTCAACCCAATGGAATCCACAGAAGTGACAAGCGTCAACATGACTCTTTCCACTGCCAGTTAATCCGCCTATGCATGTGCAGTAGAGCTTTGGTTTGGAAACCCTTTGTGAATGCAGTGAGTAGGTAGGTCTCATGTGAATGTGTATATTTTTCATGCATATAAACTAAAAAGCTCATAACCTCTTTGGGTCATGAGAGCGTTGATGCAGACCTCTGGGAAGAGTTAATTCTGTACTCAGCTCAGGGTTCCTCTTTCTGAAGTTAAGGCCCTTTAGGCCTCAACTGGGAGCCTCCTCTGCCTGGCTTTTGCTTGCAGAATCTTGTGGGCAAGACCATGGCTCCCAGTTGAAGTTCCTAAAAGAGAAGAGGCTCTGGCTTCTTGCTTTCCTGGGGGTGGGGTGGGGGAGGAGGCTGAGCATCCCACGCATTTGGGCCCCGGACTTCGAGGAATGCCCAGGGGTGGGTTTCCCTCTGCTCTGGTGTCCCCAACCACCGGCTCAGGGGAAGGGGTTCTGCGTGCCTGTCGCGTGCCCACTCCCCGAGCTCCTCACTCGGCGGGAGCGGCTCTCCCTCGCCCTCCCCATCCTCGCCCTCGCGGGCGGCCAGTCCCGGGCCCCCGCTGTCCCCTCCTCCCACTCGCCCCGAGTGCGCTCGCTCGGCCCCCGCTTTGTTGCCCGGGCTTGTCTCTGCCCGGGGCGCGCCGCGGGCCGCCGGCCAGGTCACGTGCGTTAGTGACAGCCTGGCGCGGAGCGGCCCATTGGTCGGCCCGGGGCTGGCGCGGCCCGGGGCGGGGCCGGGGAGCCGATCAGCTGTTCCCAGAGCTGCACAACAACAAAAGGACCCGGACGGGCCGGCGGCCGCCAGGGCGCGACCGACCGCCGCAGCCGCCTCAGCGCCGCCGCCGCCCGGCTCGCGTAAGTGCCGGGGCGGTCGGGTGCCCGCTCCCCGGCCCCGCTCCCGTGACCCGCAGGGCCGCACCGAGGACCCGCTCCGTTACCCGGAGACCCGCCCCGGCCCCTCCTGACCTCGCGCATCGCCGAGCGTGCACCTGGGGCGAGCGCTTGCGTCGCCGCGGTCCGCATCAGTTTGGTCAGGGACACTTGGGGTGTGCCAGAGACGGCTGGCGGCTCTAACACTTCACCCATCGCAGACGGTCGCCCGGTGAGGCCAGCTTTGCTTACTTAAACGGAGGAAACTGGGAGGCAGAGGGAGGTTAAGTAATTTTACGGCCACACAGCCAATTAGAAGGAAACGGTGTTTACTGCCTGCAGAGGGATTTCACGTGCAATTCCTTTTTGCTTTTATTTCCTGGTACGTTACTCCGTGTAAAAGTTCAGAGTAGATCAAGGGGCATCCCTTTCCACCTGTAACTCCCGAGGACTTCAGCGTCCTGGCTGCAAGAGTCCTTTCAGAGTGCTTAGTTGGAGAGGAGTGGGACTCTTCCGTCTTTGAACCGCCATGGTTACAGATGTCCAGGACCCTGAAATCACAGGCTTGGTGACTGTAATACTTTCCATTGTCAGGTGTGAAAACCACCAGGCAGCCTTTTCAGCCTCAGCCACTATAATTCCAAACTATAATTTTCAAAGGCTTAATTTTTATGATCAAGGTGTCTTTTGTTTTCTCATCCAATCTTTTATTCTTCTCTGCTCCCTGGCGTATTTCTCTTGAGAATGGTTGCTTACAAAAGTCAAGCTTAACAAGCAGTGAATTACCAACCTAACTGCTCTCTGCCCACTGTCTTCAGACTTCAGGACAGGAGGTGATGCGTCCACTGGGGAATAATCTTGTAAATTAGCTAAATAGACAGTAGAGGTGGAGTGGGTAGAGAGAACTTTCTTGGCTTGTTCTTTTTTCTTTCTTTCCTTCCTTCCTTTCTTTCTTTTTCTTTTTTCCAGTTCAGAATTGATTTTTTAAGTTACTTGAACCAAAGCCAAGGCTTGATGGCTCACGCCTTAATTCCAGTACTGGGAAGGTGGAGGTGTGAGAATCTCGAGTTCAAGGCCAGCCCTTGTCTCAGACCAAAAGAACAAACACTTGTATTAGCACCTTTGTTTTTCTGAACTAGTAGGCTCTCTCCTGCTACGATGTAGATTCTGGGTATCCAACTCAGGTCATCAGGCTTGCCGGCAGACATTTCTACCTGAGCTATTCTGCCGGCCCCAGAGAAATAGTTTTAAGGATGCTTTTCAATGATATGTTTAGTCAGCTGGTATTTCACAATTGCCAAGGAGCCACAACAACACTCATCCAAGTTGTGGGTGCTTTGTTGTTAATTTTAAAGTGTTTTTGGAGCCGCCTACTGGCAGCCCAAACAACTGAAAAGTGCTTGTCTCTGAAGTTTTTAGGACCAGGCTGGGAGGAGGTGGAGGTCACCGGCAGGGAAAAGCAAGGTGCCAGGTTGGAAGGATTCCTACCCTGTCAATCGAAGCTTCTAGATACCAGCTCTCTTGCTTTTGGGCAAGTGTTTTTCATTTCTTGGGCTCAGCTTTTTCATCATAGGACCAAGAAATAAATATCTCAACTGCCTATCACATACCATAAAGCATTCTGCAAATTGTAATTCTAGTTAACCAGTGCAAGACTAGTTAGTCTTACATATGTATGGGCCTTTAGACCCAAAGATGCTTACTGACCTGCTCAGGTTCCCTGTGTGCCTGCCTGCTGTTCACGACTGGTCATTCCTGAGGAGCAGGTAGCTGTCACTCTCATCTTAAAGATGGGGAAGCTGAAGCAGAAGGACCAAGTTTGGAAAACCATCGGTTAAGTCCACACCACTCACTCTCTTCCCCTGAGTATGCATCTCAGAACAGAGAGGCACCTCAGCAGGAACTTACAAGCTAACTCCACTCTAAGTCCCCAAAGGAGAATATTCCTACCCACAAAGAAACTCAGCCACTTTCTCTGCCTATAAAACAGTTTCTCCCCATATGTGGGAAACAGGACAAAAAATTCAATTAAAAAGATACAGCTTGTTGAGTGGTTGGTGGTGGCATACACCTTTAATCCCAGCGCTCAGGATGCAGAGGCAGGAGAATCTTTGTGAGTTTGAGGACAGCCAAGTCTATAAATCCAGTTCCAGGACAGCCAGGGCTGTTAACACAGATAAACCCTGTCTCAGAAAAACAAAACAAAGATGACATAGTATGGGCCATATGCTAACAATGATTGAACAAGGTGGTGGCATAGAATCTACCACCATTCTCTCAACTTCTTTTTTTTTTTATAATGCAAGCAGTAATGGGGAAATCTGCCTTGATCAATACTTGGGCCAGATAATTTGTTTCTTCTTCCTACCCAGGGGCTTCCAAATACCTCAGAGCAGCAGGCTGCCTCCTCCAGATTCTCTGGCCTGTTTGTTAAATTCCACAGCTATATTTGTCAGTCTGTCCTCTTGGGGATTCATGTTTTCTCTGGAACTATCATTATAGTTTTACTACTGCCCTAGAGTTATGAATGTGTCAGTAACCATATGGGGAAGCTCTGAAACCCTACTTTCCCTATTTGTCTCCACATAGAACCTGCTCTCCTCGGAGCTAATATTTCTGGGTAGGTGTTGAGGTTAAAAGGAATAGTGATGACTATTATGAAGGGACATTCTCTGGGTCATCAGTGGGAGGTAGGGTGTTAAAGTTTTGGGAGACTTTAAAGAAATATTTTCTTTTTCTCACATACAGATAGACAGACACAGACACAGACACACACACACACACACACAGAGAGAGAGAGAGAGATAGGTCCATGCATACAGGTACTGCAGAGGTCAGAAGAGGGCATTGGGCCATCTGGAGCTAGAGTTAACAGGCAGTTGTGAGTCATCTGATGTGGGTGATGGGAACCAAACTCTAGTCCTTCTGTGGGCAGCATATATTCTTAACTATCTCTTTAGCCCCTGGGAAAAGAAACTTTTTTAAAAATAGCACTGTCCTATAAGAAGGCTTAAATTTTCTAGTAGCTATGATTAAAATGAAGGGGAAAATGAAATTAATTTTATTACCTTTATTTAACTATAACTATCAAAACATCATTATACTAACATGTAATTGATATAAAATTATTAATGAGATAATGTTTTCAGTATAAAAACCAAGTGTGTTCTAGTATATACCTGATATGAGTTAGGTATAATCAGATGCAAATTCCTCAGTGTAAATACTTAAACCATATTTAGTTTTTTTGCTTTAAGGAGAGTTTTTTGAGCCGAGCAATGGTGACACACACCTTTAATTCCAGCAATCAGGAGGCAGGAGCAGGCAGATCTCTCTGTAAGTTCAAGGCCAGCCTGTCTACAGAGTAAGTTCTAGGACAGCCTTAGCTGTTACACAGAGAACCCCTGCTTCAAAAACCAAACAAATAGTTTATTGCATATACAAGGGAGCAGCTGGCTGGACAAAAGCTAGAATACTCCTTACCTGGCTCATTTTTATAGTTTATAGTTGAAAAAGGAGGCTCATACTTGGTAATTGTTCCAGAGGTAAATTGAAAGTTCTCTGAAGCTTGACTTAAATATCAGTTTAAGAGGCTTAAAATTTAAAGTTCTGGATGGGTATGGTGTGTATACTTTTACTCTCAGGACTGGGGAATCACAGATAGGTGGGTCTCCATCAAAAGTTCCAGGCTGCTCAGGGCTCTATATAGTAAGGCCCACTCTAAAAAAAAAAAAAAAAAAAAAAAAAAAAAAAAAAAATTAAATGAGGGACTAGCAAGACAGTTTAGCTTTTAAAACATACTGTTCTTTCAGAGGATCATAGTTTGATTCCCAGTAACCATGGGGTATCTTACAACTGTCTGTAGCTTCAGCTCCAGGGGGATCCAACACCGCTGGCTTTCTTGGGCACATGCACATGCACACACACAATTAAAAACTAAAAATGTTACCCAGGTGATGGTGGTGCACACCTTCAATCCTTGCACTTGGGAGGCAGAGGCAGGTAGGTTTCTGTGAGTTCAAGGACAGCCTAGTTTATATAGTAAGTTCCAGGACAGAGCTACATAGTGAGACCCTATGTTGAAAACAAACAGCAACAACAACAACAAAAAAAAAGAGAAATAAAATACCTCACCCCCCCCCCAAATTAAAAACAAAAAGTTTAAACACAACAGAATAGTTGTAAAAGTTAAAACTCTGTGTCTTGGACACAGGAGTAAAATACATGGGATGGTTTATCTGCTGCATTTGGTGGCAGCCTTGATGGAGTGTGCCATACAGGATTTGACGCTCTAGCACCTACCTGGTTGTCCCTGGCAACCCTAAAGTAGGGCCAGAGAGCCTCATACAGTTAGACCGTCCTCACACCAAGATTGTAGTTGTGGTAATCCTGTTCATTTCTCTGACTTTTCTCCCAGTGAGATTGAGGCTCACAAGGATTATGTCACACATTTCTAGCCACCTATGGTAGTGCCAGGGCTTCCCCTGCTGGTTCCTAGTCTAGCGCCACCCACCTCTTCCCAGGATTCCATTCTGAGTCCTTCCCAAGGCCACCAAATGTGTCATGTAGATAGCAGCAGTGACTCTGAGCTGAAGAGAGTTCTTTCCTTCCCACTGCTGGTCCTTGCAGAGAAATGGAACCACCCCCGACTTATGAAAGCAAGAGTAGACTTATGCTATGTCTCACAGAGATCTTCGGGAGCAGCCTGTCTGTGGCAGAGCCCAGATATTACACGCATAGCCAGCCTCTCTGGGTTTGGCTGTAGCCAAAAGGGGCAGTTTGCAACTGTCCCAGTAGCCTTCACCCAGCCACATTTTGTGGCTTATAGCCACTGATATTGCCTAAGTCCCAGTGCAAGTGGAGAACGAGGCTTTCACCCAGGATGACTGAAAAGGTCCTCTGTGAGGGTCTCCCTGCTGTATGGCAGCTCTAGCTAATGAGGGCATACAGCTAGAACCTTGTACTCAGGACGATGATAACAGCTCTCTAAGCTCCTTTCTCACAGTTGTACTTGGGCTGTTATCTGCCCTCATAACCTAAGAAAAACTGGGAAAAGCTTGAAAATGTATCTTTACATTTCCCCTTTCTTACATGCTCAAAACCTTTCATATACGCCCAACCTCATAGTGGCTCATCCTTTGGTTTCAGGCAGATTGCATTCTCCACCTTTCCTATAATTTCTCTTGATATAATTTCTCTTGAATTCTGTTAGCATGCAGCCCTCATGATCCGACCATGCTGTTTCCCAGGAGGTTTCAGGAAAACTGGTTATGCAAGTGATATTTCCTGTTTACCCACTTTTAATAATTAATGGCTGAGGATGATACATAACCACAGTGTCTTAATGTCGCTTGAGGTTTTACCCTTGTATGCCAGATAGTTGTGGCTGTGTATTCTCTACACAAAGGCAGCACAACACTCTTCTGTGAAGATGATTTTAAAAGTGAGCTGTATCTCATGTATGTAATCTAGCTGATGCAGAAAGATCACTATGAGTTCCAAACCAACTTGGGATAAAGAGTGAGACCCTGTTTAAAAAAAAAAAAAAAAGACAAGAGCCTATTTCATTCCCCTTGTGTCGATAGCTGAAACCACATTGCTAAACTTGTGTTCTACTGCCTAACATCTCTAGCTGTGTCACCATGCACTTCCCTAACTCAGCCCAGGAGTAGCATCCAGCTTGTACTTTGTGTGGTATCCCTGCCCTCTAAATAGTCCCATTATAACTCAACTTATCCAGAAATCTGGTTCTTCCTGACCACACCTTTTATTTAAAAAGCAAAACAACCAGGGTTTCACTATGTACCCCAAACTGGCCAAGAAATATTGATCCTCTTGTCAAAGTCTGCAAAGTGGTGGGATTACAGATAGCATTTCCATGTCTGGGTTTCTCCTCTTAATTTCTTCCCTATAAGCTCCTGCAGGATCTGGTCCAGCTTGTTCCTTCGAGTCTCAGTCTGGATCCTGAGCCATCTGGACAGTGCCATGCTGTCACTAACGTAGGCCTCCATGGTGTGCTGTCTGCCCCTTCTGCACTCTCTCAGCTGTGGGAGGTCACTCACTGGAGAGTGCACCAGGGAGGTCAGAGGAGCATCTGGAAATTCTTTGTCTACATCAGTGACTTCACTACTTCCCTTCCTGTGTGGTTTTTGTTCACTGCTGGTCCCGTGCTCAGCACTCTGCCTTACACACAGCAGGTACACACTAAATATTTGTAGAGTAACAGCTGACCTATCCAGAGAGCCTTGGACATGAGCATTCTGCCTGTACAGTATCACTTAAGAAGAGTAGATCAGGGAGAGTGTTGTTGGCCTACAGTAGATTGAGAGCAATTAAGAACAGCAAGTAGATTTAGGCTATTTGTATAGGTAGAGTTCACAGAACTTGCTGGTAGTTTGGATAAGGGACTGAGAGGCATCAGAGTTGGTAGTAGGAGGTAGCATAAGGAAAAAAAAATCCATAATCTCAGAAAAAGTAGTTTAAAATTCTTTTTGATGTGTGTTCCATTTACTGTGCTATTGGATAGCCAGGTAGAAATGGGCAGTTACATCTGTAACTCTGTGCTTAGATGAGACAAGCTGTGTTTCCTCATTTAGAACTCACCAGAACTACCTGAGGTAGGAGCCATTATCAGCTGACTTTTTAAATGTGTGTGGTTTATCTGTGGAGGTCAGAGGATAACTTGTATCAGCTGCTTCTTTCCTTCTACATGTCAGCTCAGGGATCAAACTTCCATCATTAGGCTTAGAAGCAAGTGCCTTTACCCACTGGGCTACTTCACTGGCTCATCTTCTGTGGATTCTTTAAAAAAGATTAAAAAGATTAAAAAAGATTTATAAGTGGGTTTTGCTTGCATGTATGTACTGTGTACATGCCTGGTGCCCTCTGAGGTCAGAAGAGAGGGTATCAGATCCTCTGGAACTGGAGTTACAGATTCGTTGTCATAGTTAGGGTTTCTTTTGCTGCGAAGAACACCATGACCATGGCAACTCTTACAAAGGAAAACACTTATTGAGGCAGTGGCATGCAGGCAGACATGGTGCTAGAGAGGTAGCTAAGAGTTGTACTTCTGGATCCACAGGCAGCAGGAAAAGAATTGAGAGCTACACTAGGCCTGGCTTGAACTTCTGAGACTTCAAAGCCAGCCGCCAATGACACACTTCTTCTAGCAAGGCCACACCCACTCCAGCAAGGCCACACCTCCCAATAGTGCCACTTCCTATGGGCCTATGGGGCCATTTTCTTTCATACCACCGCAGTTGTAAACCATCATTTGGGTATTTGCAAACTGAACTGGACATCTGCAAGAATGAGTGATCTTAACCATGTCTATCTCTCCAGCCCCATCTTCCTAAGTTTTAAAGTGAAAGGGGAAATCAGGATTTGATGATGTACACACTGATTCCTGAACCACCCACAGAGAACAGTGTCTTGCACAGTTAGGTTTCTACGGTGTAAATGTCCCCATGCCTGTAATAGGAGTTCTTTCAAAAGCTAAACTGTGCTGTTCTTATAGTTCAAACATGAGGCTGGTTTAAAGTAATACACGAAGAAATAGCAGGGTCATGGGGTGGGGAGTTGAGTGCTTGGCATCGTGGTGGAGGCGAGAGAGGAGTGAGTCAAGGCCAACCTTGTCTCAGAGTCTTACAACAAATAAAAATAACCTTTTTCTGTTTAATTTTAGGGATGATGACTCTTGTCCTTCACCTGCATTGAAGAAACACTGCACTTTAGTCTCCTGTTTGTGCCATCAGGCCATCTGAAGACAGGGTTTTGAAATCTCAGCTATAGAGATATCCAGCCAAAGTCTCAATCTTGCCTTAACAATGTTTCAGAGACTGAACAAAATGTTTGTAGGTGAAGTTGCTACTTCTTCCAACCAAGAGCCAGAATTTAGTGAGAAAGAAGATGATGAATGGATTCTTGTTGACTTCATAGGTAAGGTATACTCAAAATTAATCATCACAACACAAGTGGCATCCAGCAAGCTATGTAGCTAAGGATAACCTAAACTCCAGATCCTCCTGCCTTCATTTCCCAAGGACTATAATTAGAGACACACCCCACTACACCTGGCTCAAAAGTGGGAACTCCTGGGGCTGGGTGTGTGTACATGTGGCTCCATCTACACACACACACACACATACACACACACTCTCTCTCTTGTGTGCATTCAAACGTTAATGTATACATATTTACACAGAAAATGTGAACTCTTAAATGTAATTTTTAAAGTTTAAAAGTAAATAAATAAGGACATCTCTAAAAGCTTTCAGGAAACATTTTGTGCCAATCGAGTCAGTGAGTTTTATTGACTGGATTGTCTGACTTCCCAGTTTTGCAACTCCCAAAGCCTGGTCCAAACAGAGATACTTTAATGGGAAACCCTCATATGAGCAACAGGAACCCACGAGGCTCACAATATGTTTATTTGCCAGAATATAAACTCCTAAAGCCATTCCTTAATGCCAGTATAACTATACATAGACAGATTGGAAATTAATTTATAATTGCTACAATTGAATACTGCCTTTGTGAGCATCTGTTAATATAGTGTTGTCTTTTTTCTGTTGTGAATTTGATGGATGACTCCACCACCACTGACTGCTCATCCTCCCATGTGCAATGTGGATCAAAATCTAGATACCTGCACTGGTTTCTCAGCAGAGGAAGAGGAAGATGACGATGACATCAGTGAAGAGTCCCCAGCAGAGCACACATCAGTCTTCTCCTGTTTACCTGCATCTCTGGAGTGTCTGGCTAACACAAGCGATTCCTGCTTCCTCCAGTTTGAGTCCTGTCCAATGGAGGAGAGCTGGTTCATCACCCCTCCCCCATGTTTTACAGCAGGTGGATTAACCACTATCAAGGTGGAAACCAGTCCTATGGAAAACCTTCTCATTGAACATCCCAGCATGTCTGTCTATGCGGTGCACAATCCCTGTCTCAGTGAGGCCAGCTGTGGGAATGAAGAATACAACTCGAACAGTTCCAGGTATGTTCAGACACTTTACTCTCTGAACAAGCAGTCTGCTAAGCAAAAATTCTTCTACATAGTACAAGCTAAGGCTCTAGAAGATAAAAGTAATTGTGTTGGAAATTTACTTAAGTAACCCGATCAAGTCTATAATTGCAGTATGTAGGTTAGGATTGCGTTCTATAAGGTTATTAGTTGTAGCATGACTCAGTTGTATAATAGAGAGCCATCTCACTTATAAAAGTATGCTACTGGAAGAAAATAAGAAGACTAGTATTTCTGATAAATACATTAGAATACAATTCTGGTATACTGTAGACTAAATGATTTAGGGCATCAAATTCATCTAAATTTATTTTCTTCCACATATTTTAGCTAAATCACCTTAAGTGGTGCTTAACCTAGAAAATCCAAGTATTTGTTCTAAGAGTCGTCGTCAGATTTCACATTGCAGTGACATCTGTTGTTCAGCAGTCCAAAATGGCAGGGGGCTTTTGAATGGCAGATGGGTAAGGGCCCAGTAAGCTCAGGGGAGGGAAGTCAATGAAAATTAGTGTTTCGCAAATCAACCTTCCAGAGATTCTATGGCCTTCTCCAAGAGAACATTTTCAGCAGTATGTCTGAGACAATTGTCTCCGATGAAAACTACGTCCTTCCCTCCATTTCATCTGCCAGTCAGTCATGTGTGCCAGTGAGACATGCCCCATAACAGCAACCACGTTGTGAGCTTGCCACCAACTTACGTATGCCTTCTCCGGACCCTTTGGAGTACTTTACCGCCATCCTAAGGGCTCCTTTTGTACAGTTCAGGCCATGACTCCACTGGCCCAATGTAGATAGCTTGTCCCCATCTATGGAGTAAAAACCAAACCCAGGCAATGCTAACCTTTCCAGAATTGCTACCCTTCCAAGTCTCACTATTATAGATGCACTTTATTTAGCAAGGCTAAATACTCTTCTTACTTGTACCAAAGTAAAAGTTTTGTTTTTATATAGTCATGTAATACCAGGCATAAACTGGTGCTTCAAGTGGCACTTTTTTGAAAGACATAAATTTACTGAGTTAAGTGTTTTTGGCATCCCAATGAAAATTAAAAATATACCTTGTTGGGAGGTGGTGGTGATTTCTTCAGTTCTTAAAAATTCTTCCCTACTAATTCTGATTGAACCTCTGAGGAATCCACTCAAGAATTTTACAGGATTAGGGGCTAGAGAGATGGCTTACTTCAGATCACTGGCTACTCTTTCAGATGACCCAGATTTATTTATAGCATCCATATGGCAGCTCCTAACTGTAACCCCAGGCCCTGGGGGTGATGCCATCTTCTGGCCTCTGTGGGTACTGCAGGCACATGGTACACAGATTTACATGCAAGTAAACATTCACAGGCACAAAATAGAAGCAAATAAAATCTCAAAAAATTAAAAGGCTCTAACATGATTAACAGTCACTTTTAATTTACTTACTATTTGATACTTTTAAATAAAGTACGTGTGTGTATAATTGGCAGTTCTGTAAAGTAATGTTATAGCATACACTGCCAAATTTAAATACGCAGAAATTTAAAAATTTGAAATGACATCTCTCACGATCCACAGATAAATACTGTTAACACCCTAGGCTTGTCCTAAGTTGTTTTTACTATATAGGGCAGTTCCAGTACCTGTTCACCTGCCATTAAACCCAAATGGGGGCATGCTCCCAATTTATTAGGCTTGGTACCCATCATTGTGTTTCAGCAAATTTTCACTTTATCTGCTAACAAATCATACTTTAATCTTCCCCTTAAGAGCTTGGTTTTGGAGCATTTCAGCTTTATCCAAACCAGCATCTGTGTACCGTATCTGGAGGCTGTTTCCTACTTGATGCCACAAGAAGTTGAATTTACATTATCAGCAGATAAGAGACTTTTCATACATGAATTATCAAAGGCAGCCATGGTGATACATGCCTGTAGCATTTAGGAGGGTGAGGCAGGAGGATCACTAGTTTAAGGACAGTTTGGAATACATAGTGAGATCCCTGTCTCAAAAAGGATATGTATGTATATTTCTACATCAAGGTAGAATCAGGTGTTAACCAAAGTAGCAACACTGTAAGCCTGTGCTTTTGGAGCAAGCAATAAGCCATCTTTCAAACATACTACTTCCATTCTGTCTGTCCTTAGGAATATTAGTATAAATCACTAGAGGATGAAGCTGAGTACTTATAATGCTTTAGAGTGTACATTTTATTGCATCTTAGCCTTTATAAATATTGTTTGTGAAGGTTTATGAGCAACCATAATTTTAAGTAATATGTCTTTAATTGTCAGTCTTATTAAAGAAAAATGACCATGTCCTAGTAGTAAAATTTAAAATGGCATTTTAAATCTTACTAGTGATTTAATAGTTCACCATTTAACATTTGTAGGGCCAGGAAAAGCTGCTTATAAGACTCATGGGCACAGAGTAAGTATGTTCACTTTGAGACTGTATGATCTGTGTTATCGGTCTGAGCAGGGAGCCCAGGAACCCAAAATGCCTGCCTTCTAAAAGTCATCGAGCTTATATTAGCTTATTTCTATTTATTTCTTTGTTTCTTTTTGCTTTTGTTTTTTCCGTACTGCGAGGGATCAAGCCTAGTACATACTAGACAAGCACTCTACCACTGAGCTACACTACCACCCAACCCTCTGTTTCTTAATGGGATCTATGTGTATGTGCATGAAGATAGCTTACTCCCATCATTTTAAGCAAAATATGTAACTACCCTTCCTTAATAAAATAACTCGTAAAAATCTTAAAACTCAGACTGGGGTATAGCTCAGTTTGTAGAGTGCTTGTCTGGTGCACAAGAAAACCTGAGTTCAATTGCCAGTGAATAAACCAGTCTTGGTAGTGCACACCTGTAAACCCAGCCCTGAAGAGGTAGAGGTGGGAGGATCAGAAGTTCAAGGTCATTCCTGGCTACAATGGGAGTTTGAAACCACCCTGAGCTAAATTATCTCAATCCTCATCCTCACTGTCAAGTCATGCTGGGAATGTAGCTCATTTGTCAACTCTGCAAGAGGCCTGAGATTAATGGACAGCACTGCCAGAAACTAAAGCTTTGTATGTGTTAGTACAGAAAACACATACTGTATACAACCATGTCCTAATATATGTTTTTAAGGATCGTGAAGCACTCTGGTATAAATGCCATTCCAAAATATGCTCTCCTGTGGCATAAATAAAAAACTGACATAATAGGCATTTTTTTTTTAACCCAGCAAAGGTGAAGTTAGAGGAATGTCCTTATATACATTTCTGTGAAATACAGATTCATATGCTGCTACCTAGGACATTTTATTGTAGCTAGAAATCATCTGTGAAGGTGCTGTTGATGTAAATGCTTTTTGATCAGTCAAATTTGAGGATTAAAATATTTTTAATACTATGCTAAAACTGAAATAGATAATTTCTTCAAAACAGCTAAAAGCGGGGTGTGGTGGCTCACACTATAATTCCAGCACTTGGGAAGTTGAGGCAAGAGGATCAGTGATTCAAGGCCAGTGTTGTCTACATGGCAAATTTGAGGCCTCCCTGAGCTACATGGGATTCTATCTTAGAAAACTAAAAAACAGATGTGCAAATGTTCAGTAGTCAGTTCTCCTCTTGGAGAACCATATTACATCCACTCAAAGTATGAATCACGTTATTAATATAGGGCCAATTTACTCACCTCTGGATTATATACTACATTACTATTAAAAGTTAACATTTTCAGGGGTTGGAGAGATGACTCAGAGGACCCAGGTTCAATTTCCAGCACCTACATGGCAACTCACAACTGTTTGTAACTCCAGTTCCTGGGATCCAACACCCGCACATAGACAGGCATGCAGAAAAGCACCAATGAACAGAAAATATATTTTTTTAAGTTAACCTTTTCACTTAGAAGTTATAAGACACATTTGTAATTCTAAAACTTGGGAAGCTGAGGCAGGAGATTGGTGAATTTGAGGGTAGCCTAGGCCAATAACAAGACACTACCTCAAAAAAAAAAAAGTTGGCTTCCCTCTTCTACCAATATCAACAAAAACAGTCACAAAATGTAAATCTGCCCATCATCCAGCAAACACTTAGTTCTTACCCAACCTGAGACAAATAACTACTAAGCAGCCTCTTGGCACTCTGTTGGTGATACATTCCACTTTGATCTGTTTCAGAACGGAAGCCCAGAGTGAAATCCGGGAGCACATTCGCTGCTGCGTGGCAGCTCTTGCTGCTCAGGCAGCGTTTTTGGAACAGCCCAAGAGTTTCCGCCCTTCCCAGTGGATAAAAGGACACAGTGAAAGGCAGTCTCTGAACAGAAATGGCCTTCGTCGCCAGAACCTTACCAGGGATTACCACACTCGACAAATGAAGCACAGTGGCTGGGCGGTTCACCAGCCCTGCCCTCGCCAGTATAATTACTGAGAACACGGAGCTCTGCTGGCTGCTTTCCTTGGGTTTATGCCTATGTATGTGGATGTGTGTGCATAGGATGACCAACTGAAGACCAGTCGCCTAGTGTAGCAGTGTCTACACACTGTCATGCCTAGTGTAGCAGTGTGTCCACACATTGTCACAACCAGATTGTTGTGCAGTGTATCACATAATGCCTTGCTCCTGACAACTACTTTTAAAAACCTTTTCAGAATCTTTTTGGAAACATATCAATACAGTTACAGTGTTGAGGTGGTCTTTAAATACAGTAAGGTATACATGAGTTAGTTGGTGTCTTAAGGACATTTCTTAACCCAAGTATAAGAATAGGCATCTTTTCAATTTCATTTATTTTGTATTATTTAATCTTTTTTGTGTAAGCAAAAATTTATTCTCAGGGTCAGCCATATACTTTATTGACCAGTACTTGATAGTCTTTTCTGTATATAAGGAGTACATTTTTATACACTAACATGAGCATTAACAGGTGATTTTTGCCATGGATGGAATTAATGGCTGAACTTTTGAAAGAAAACTTGACGTATTCTGTATGTATGGTTCTTTTTTCCCAGATTAGTCACTGCAGTTTATTGTGGAATTCAGGTACCTTATCTTTGGTGAACAATGCATTCAATAATTCTGTGACCCCACAGTATGGTACAGATACTACAGCTGTCATGGACAAAGCGCTTGTCTCCTATGCAGAGGGGAACAGTGAGGGCTGTGAGGTGGTGTCTGACATGTGTCTAGGTAACCCTCAGAGCAGTCAGTACTTGGGGGTGTCTAGAGTCTTAACTGCCAGCTCAGCTGGAGAATGCAGCAGGCATTTGGTGATTTCATGCTCATGTGTGCCCTTGAGAAAGGAAGAGAGACAGTGGCACTCCTCAGACATGGACCCTGTCCTCCCAACAGGACAGCATTGGGGACAGGGTACTTGTAGAGGTATCTGTTTATGTCATCCAAGTGAAGACTGATGGGTTGGTTTCCTTGAGCTTTCATTTTTTTAACTTCACAAAATCTTTAACCACTTTGGCCTCTGTCTCCTCCATAGCAGGGGAGCAGTATTTATTACTTAGCTCCCAGAGTTGTGAGGATCACACACGAATAGGAAGTGGAGCTGTCAGAACTGAGCTTTCCTGCTGAACCTAGTGGTGGGAGGCTGTGGCATTTCTCTGCCATGATTTCCCTCAGGGTTGGTGCTAACGGTGCAGGGTTGCACTCACATAGGCCACTTAACTTGATGCAAAGGAAAGTCCATTTTCTTACCTCTGACTGGTCACTTCTTTGTAAGAGCAGTTTTGATGGCTCTTCGTGAGCCATCCACACTTGCAACCAACTTTCTGGAAAATTAAACCCATGTACAGCTTAAAGCACGCTCTACTGAGAATACTATCATTATCTATACAATCAAACAGCTCACTTCCCTATCTCCTCTGCAACCCTCATTAAACACTTGTTCATGAACTAATTTCAAGGAAAAGGCAGCATACTGTTACATGAAGTATTGTCCCTGGAGCAGCCTGACACAGGGAAGCTTGGGAGACTTTCAGGGAAGCTGAGTTCTTTCTTTGACGAGGCTGGGGTTTAGAGCTGCACTTAGACAGTGAAGGGTGTTTTTGCACTGTGATAAGTGCCAGGATCTCTCTCTTAGAACAGGAATTGAGATTCCTTGTCCTTCCCTAAACCCTTTCCATACTGACTTCCCCTTTTATTTATTTGTTTTCTAATTAGGGGCCAAGTCTGTAAAGTTTGTCAAACTGAGAAGTTATTTGTTACTATTTGTGTTTTCATGAAGGTGTGCATGTTTTACACCATGTCTGTTATAGGATCATATGCTATAACTTGAAAATAGAGCAGCTGTGTCTTCTGGACACAAGCTTCTAAATACATGTAAGCCTTTCCTACCCCCTTACATCACAAGCAAGTTGTGTCTCACAAGCTGGAAGTTCAGCCATGATAATTTGTTTGGCCAGCATCAACTGATTTGTGTATTATTAAACTACAAGTGTTGTTGTTGGTTTTTTTTTTTTAAACAATTTTCCCCCATATTTGTTCATCCTTTTAAGTACATTTACATCTCTTTCAGTTACTGACTTCATTTGCCTTGTCTGTGCCGAGTGTTTCTGCCTTGTCCCTGAAAACCTGAAAACAAATCAATTACTGGGATTTTTTTTTTCCCCTTTAGGGTTAAGATTACTACACCACCTACAGCACGTAGCACACTGTGGTTCCTGTGTGAAAATTTAAAGTTTATGTCTAAAATTAGCATATGTAAGAATGGAAGAATAATTAAGTTCTTGGTCATTAGGTGTTTTGTTAGGCAACTACTAAGACACAAGTCCAGTAACACAGACCAATGTGAACCTGTAAAATGCTTTTGAAACATGTCAAGGATGTATTTTATGAGTTGATTACTCACTGATTACCATCATCATAATTTTGCTGTTGTAACATCTAGTGCTTTACAACGTACTTCAGTAAGTACAAGTACAAACAGTAAGAAGAAAGAACCCAAGGGTTGGGGATGTAGCTTAGTGGTAGAATACTTGCCTAGTATCTGCAAGGTTCTGAGTTCACCCCCCAGCACTGTAAAACAAGACAAAGAAAGTAAAACTTCTGAATTAGGAGCTCTGACCACTTCTAAACTGATAGCCTAGAATGGCACCTGGAAAGTCTAGAATACATGCTGTACAATGTCACATATCTGTGTTTTTAGCTTTTACAGTAGACTCCACATTCCATGAAGTTTGTGATTTGTGTTAAACATGTTAGAGTATTCTGTTAATTACTATTTCCTGAGTTATATTCTGCACTGTAGGTATACACTTAGCTTGCCATACTTGTGGCTATTTGTATTTGTGTGTTTGGGTAGATGCAGTGATGGTAAGAGATTGGATTTATACTTGCCACTGCAGGAAGTTAAAAAAAAGAAATCCAAAACCCATTAATTTTCAGTATATTTTTACAATTCCCATGCAGATTGTTTCTGTTTATCAGTTCTTTGGTTCTATCAAGAAGAGTGTTTACCTAAAACTTGCCAGGGCTCATAAGCCTACCTGTTGTTTTTGCTTCTCAAATCTACACACTGTTTCTGGTCTCCACTTGTTTAGAAATCTGATTGCTTTGCTATTTTGCTCCATCCTCACAGCAGCATACTGTCTTTGTATACACTTGTATGAAGGACTACAACTAGAAGACATTTAAATGCATTTAAGTAGTTTAGTGGTGAAAGTTTCTACCATTTTCTTCATATTTTAGAGAGTTGAGAGACTGCTCCTTGTACTAGGAGATGCTACTATATGTCTTTTGTTCCCTTGAAGTTATCTTTTTATTTTATAAGGCCTATAGATACTATTAGTATAAAATTCTTTAAAGTTAGGTAGTTCCATGCCATCAGCCCCTGATGTGTTATAAATGGCAATCCTACCTACTTATACTGAAATTTTACCTGAGTGCTTGTCTATTTAACAAATCAACCCATATGACAGTGTTGTCCACTTTATCATAGGCCGGTTTCTCTTGAAACGTGACACCTATTCAAGCAGCTTAGGTGCAGACACACCAGGAAGAGTCTCCTCTTACTGGCAACAGTATCCTTCATGTGGAAAAGAAGTTACTATTCAGAGGAAGGCAACTTAGTGGATGATGCTCTGTGTCACTGATAAGTTTCCTTATGACATTCAGAAATGCCTCCAACTGTTAGTGGACAATCTGGCTCTGTACTTCACTGTTTAGAATTGTTTTCTAGGTGGACTTGTAAAAACCAAACAGTGCTTGGGAGTTTAGATGTATGTATTTGGGGGCCTCAGGTGTGTGTGTGTGGTTTTGTTTCCTTTTTGGTTTTGTTTTCCTTTAGAAGTTTTGAACTTTAGTCAATAATTTTGTGTGTTATTTTTAAGTGGCTTTATTTCTTTGCTCTAGTAAAATTGTGAACACACTTGCCTTCTGAAGGCAGGGTATGAGTTATGGATACAGAAAAGTATTGTAGGTTGTACTGTGTGCCTTTGTAATGTGTTTATGGGCACAATTTTTTCTCATCAACTTGAAAACTTAAAAGGGACATTTTGGTTGGGTATATATACTGTACATCAATCTATGCATAAATGGCAGCTTGTCTTCTTGAGCCACTATCTAATTTTTTTTATAAATTTTTTATACTGATTGGGTCACAGATGGTCAGTTTTATACAGAATGAACAGCACAGCACTTTGCCAAAAACATGTGTAGCATTGCTTAAACATTGTGTATTAACACCAGATCTTTGTAATGGGTTCAGTAGTGCATTTTGCACTGCCCAAAGTTACAGTTTTTTAAAATCTGTCAGTAAATAAAATGTCCTTTAACTTAACATGTGTTGGATACTTTTCTTTATGGTCATTACTTTTTTTTTTTTTTTTTTTAAATGTGCATTGGTGTTTTGACACAGGTGGCAGGTCCCCTGGAACTGGAGTTACAGACAGTTGTGAACTGACATGTGGGTGCTGGGAATTGAACCTGTGTCCTCTGGAAGAACAGTTAGTGCTCTTAACCCCTGAGCCAAACCTCTAGCCCAGTCATTATTCTAGAAAGTATTACAACTTAAAACATTTGTTTTCTAGCTTTGCTTGTGGAAAAAGTTGTTTAATATGCATTGCAAATACTCCTTTTAAAGGTGTGGTGATGCATATCTGTAATCTCAATACGGAGGAACTTCTGCAGCAGGAGTACTGCTGCTAATACAAGGCCAGATTGGGCTGCACAGCAAAGCCTTGTCTTTTTAAAAAGGTCTTTAGCCAGGAGTGGTGGTGCATGCCATTAATCCCAGCATCAAGAGGCAGAGGTAGGTGAGGCCAGCCTGGTCTACAAAGTGAGTTCCAGGATAGCTAGGGTTACACAGGGAAACCCTGTCTCAAAACAAAAAAGGCCTTTGTGTGTGTATACATAACACACACACACACACACACACAGCCATGTAAAGTGAACAGTCATTTAAATGAATTTAAGGTTGATATCTTACTAGTACTTTACCCTCTAAACAATTTACTCTTTCTTTGGGGGGGGGGGAATGGGTATATGTACTTTATGTGTATGTCTGTTTACCATGTGCATGCACTGCCTGTGGAGGTCAGAAGAAGGGGATGGATCCCCTGGGTCTGGAGTTACAGTTGTGAGCTGTCAAGTAAGAGCTTGGAATCAAACCCAGGTCCTCGGGAAGATTAACCAGTGTTCTTAACCATGGAGCCACCTCTCCAGCCCCAAAGTTAAGGCCAAGCCTCTGAAATCACAACAGAGCCTGACAAGGTAGCACAGGGCACCAGACCCACCCTTACCAGCATGTCTGGAAACACTGAGGGGCTCAGGTCAAACAAGGCCACTCAAGACACAAATCCCAGGGGACTCAGAGCATTCAGATGGTGTCATCATTTGTGGTATCTTTGTCTCTAGAAGACCTGGACTCTGTCACTCAAAAGGGAGCCACTGGTTATGCTGAACATCTTATTAAACAGAGAAGCTAACAAGTTTCTCAGTGGGGCTTGGTGGTCCATGTGTCCAATCCCAGGAATTGGGAGGTGGAGGAAGGCAGGAGGATCAGGGATTAAAGGTCATCCTTGATACATAGCAAATTAGAGGCCAGCCTGGATTACAGGGGACCTTGTCTGAAAACAAAGTTTCTGAGTATTAAGGACTCAATCAATATTTCAGATATTCTCTTACAGCAAGTTTGAAAGTATTAAATTTAAGAAATAACTTTCAAAAGAAAGATTTTTGTTGCATTAGAGAGGGACAGTTGGACAGGGTCTCAATATGTAGCCTCAAACTGGTGTCCTTCCTGCCTCTGCCTCCCAAGTGCTGGAATTCACAGGTGTGCACCATGTTTAGCTCAAAAGATAGTCTTATTGGACAAATGTGCCAGAGAATGTCAATTTTTAGTCCTAGTGATGTACGTAGACACAGCCCTAGAAATGCCCAAGGAACTACTGGCCTAAACTATCTACATTAACATTCTTACACTGTGCTGGGGGTGGTGGTGCACGCCTTTAATCCCAGCACTTGGGAGGCAGAGGCAGGTGGATCTCTGAATTTGAGAACAGCCTGGTCTCCAGAGCAAGTTCCAGGATAGCTATGGCTGTTACACAGAGAAACCCTGTCTCCAGAAAACAAACAAACCCAAACCTAATAGGGGTGGGGATGTAACTCATCTGGTAGATTGCTTGCCTAACATGCATGAAGTCTGGACACACTGGATAAAATTGGGTATGGTGTTTTGCCTGTAACCCCAGGGACATGTAGAAAAGATGATCAAAAGTTCTGATTCTTAGAACAATGTGAATTGCTCTTGTATACCTTGTAACAGAACTAGTCTGGTAAAACATTAATTCTCTGGCATAACATTTATTGAAGGACTTGACAAAGCAGAGACTTCTTATGCTCTAAGCTGTCTTTTCCTACTACCAGGAGTTTGATCCTCAGCACTGTCAAAACACAGTAACAAAATCAGCACTTTTCTTATAGATTTAATGGTTTTTATTGGTGTGTGTGTGTGTGTGTGTGTGTGTGTGTGTGTGTGTGTGTGTGTGTGTGTGTAAGAGCTTGCTATGCAACCCCAGTGATATGAATTCAATCTCTGGATCCCCCGATGGAACAACAGAACAGACTGCTAGATATTGTCCTCTGATTGCCACAAGTGTGCTGTGTTCCCACAATCTCTCATATACATACTAATAAAAAACAGAATTTAAAATTCAGTCCATAAAATCCTTTATTTGTAATAGTCGAAAAGCTCTTAAAATGACAATATTTCCCCCTAAGTTTGTTGCCAAATTTATTGCCCAAATTAAAAAAACAAACAAAAAAACTTATTTGAACTGACCTAAGACTCTGCTGTCATAACATTCCATCCAATACCTCTCCCATGTGCCAAAACCTGTTACAATTTTGTTTTTCTGTAACCATGAAAGTATCAAATAGAGCCAAAGATTTGGTGGGGCTATTGAAGTGCGGGATGGCTCAGCCACTAAGAAGAGCACAGGCCAGTCTTTCAGAGGACCCAGGTCAGTTCCCAGAATCTATCTCAGCACCCATACACCCATCTCAGAATCAGAGAGCAGCACCTGCTGGAACTCCAATTCCGAAGGATCTAATGCCCTCTTCTGGCCTAAGCAGGCACTGCATGTATGTAGCGCAGAGACATAAATGAAGGCAAAATGCCACCCATAAAAGAGAGGGGCAGGAAATACGGTTCCATTGGTAAAATACCTACCATTCAAACATGAGGAACTGAGCTCATATCTCCAGCACCTACACCTGTGACCCCAATGTCAGAGGGAGGTAGGGATAATAGGGTTCCACTGTCTCACCTGGCCTTTAGCCAAATTAGCAAGTTATGTTCAGTGACTGTTTCAAAAACTAAGGTGGACAGCAATTGATGAAGATAGCTGACATCCACCTCTGGCTTCTACACACACAAATCCCAATAAATACACATATTAAAAATTTTAAAGAAATGCTATGTTTGGCTTATGGATGTATTACTTCAGGCCCCGCTGGGCTATCAAAAAAAAAAAAAAAAAAAAAATACGGCATGAATATTCATTCATGCTCTTTCAAGACATCTGAGAAATTCTGAATTCTAAAACTCATCCAGCTTCCAGATTCCAGGTAACAGATTGTAACCCTGTCCTCAGAGAGCAGCCAGGTTTGGTGGCACAGGCCAGAAATCCCAGTTTAGAGGCTAAGGCAGGGTTCCAAATTTAAGATCTGCTCAGGTAAGAGAAGAGAGTGAGTTTAAGGCCAGCCTGGGCATGTTAGTTTGACAGTCTCAAAAAGGGAAGTAGAAAGAGGTCAGGGCTAGAAGTGCACGAAGGGTACCAGCCTCTCTTCCCTTTGCCACTCCTCTAGTTCTTTCCCATCTCTCAGAGAACAAATGACTTCATTCTTTTTTGGGGGAGGGGGGTTCAAAACAGGGTTTCTCTGCAGCTTTGGAGCCTGTCCTGGAACTAGCTTTTGTAGACCAGGCTGGTCTCAAACACAGAGATCCTCCTGCCTCTGCTTCCCAAGGGCTGGGGTTAAAGGTGGGTGCCACCAACACCCGGCAAGATTATCTCATTCGTGGTGTGTGTGTGTGTGTGTGTGTGATTTACTCTTCACATATTTGTAACTAACATCTTACTCACTAGAATACATTATTCAATCAACTAGTAGTGGGTCATGGGTGTGTATAAGTAGAAACTCATATATTAACTTTAAATGCACAACTGTTTCTAAGAAGTGATGGCTTCCTATGACCACCAAGTTTTATTGTGTGATTAGACTATTTGTTCTAATTAGATGCATGGATCCACTTCACCACCAAAAGGATGGATGGCTGGGGATACAGCTCAGTGGTAGAGTACTCACCTACCATAACTGAGGGCTCTATTTTCAACTTCCAATACTAAATGAATAGGAAAATGAGCACACATTGAGCTAACCAGATTCCTAACTGAAGGCAGTCACTCTGCTTTTCTCTTGTGGTTCTTGGACAAGCACACACACTTCCTCTCTTTATGAACACAATGAAGATGAGCAGGCCGGGTGGAAATACTTCTGCTCCCTGGCTTCCTGCTGTTACATCCTTGCTAATGAATGGAAGCTGGTAAGGCTTCTTTGGGTTTTCTGAACAGGAGCAAATGGGCTGACAGATCTGAAAGACACGCTATGCTTTCCTCCTTACTTCTCAGTTTGCCTAGTCTACAGCCTTGAGGTATACATATCACCCCCTTTTACAGACAGGACTGAAGAGAAGCAACTTCACAAACATCAAGACAGAAAGTAGATTAGAGCCTTCTCACCATATCAAAGTTGTTCTCTCAAAACTTACATTAAAAAGTTAAGCACCATACTTGAGCCATGCATAACTAGAATGACTAGAGTAGAGGAGACAACACTTCTGAGAGGTTGCCCTGTAGGAGACATTATAAAGCATGTCCACAACAGAGCGTTTGGGAAGAACCTGAAAATCGGGAGAATACCTCCAGTTGATATATAGTCTGCCGGGAAGGCAGGGAACTTACTATGCAGAACAGGCTGGCCTCAAACCCAACAGAGGCCTGTTTCTACTTCCCAAGTGCAGAAACTAAGGCTTGTACCACTATGCCTGGCCCTGTTGTTTCGTTAGTTTAAGAGAGGACCTTCCTGTATTAGTCGGGGTTCTCTAGAGTCACAGAACTTACGGAACGACTCTCTCATTCATATCCATCCATCCATCCATCCATCCATCCATCCATCCATCCATCCATCCATCCATCGGAATCCCAAAGAAGTAGGCTCTGTGTCAGTGAAGGGATGGATGTGCTGACGAGGGGAAGGCACACAAACAAGCAAGCAAAG